AACATGTTTTAAAAATTATTTTACCGTCACAATGTGTATACATAGTAGGCCTACACGTATTACTAAATGTTCGACTGAGTGAGCTGGTAATTTGATGCAAGTAAGATTTCTTACCGCATTATTACTATCAAGAAGTCTTCGTTTTTGTAAAAATAATGAAGTTCTACTACCAACAATTCAGCAAATTTTGTTATCCCGTTTATACTTTTGTTTTAATCCTTTTTATCCCAATTTCGTCTCTAAAACATGTAAAAAAAATTATCTTACCATCGCAATGTGTATACATAGTAAATTTATTACTGTAAATATACGACTAAGTGAGCTGGTAATTTGATGCAAGTAAAATTTCTTAACATCCTTATTTAATTACTACTGTACGTGAGTGTTTATAATGCTGTAATTAACATTGAGAAATAAATTTCATGAGACAATGGAGTCCGAGCAGCTTGTTTTGAAAAGAGATTACGCTGCGTACGCTGCATTGTTTTGAACTTACAAAGACTCCGCTCTTTCGGCTTCAACTTGGTTGGAACTGTTGAGCGGGCGACGCAACGTTAGGGCCTCTCCTTATACAGCTACTCCTCTGTTTTACCTACCCCAATAACCATTGCACTTGTGGCATACGAGGTATCTCTGGATCTGGGGTGTCTGTGTGGACGGGTGCTAATACTCGTAGTTTACTTCTTGTGACGTAATGACCCACACTATGTTTTCAATGCTCTTGTTATTGCTTCGTTCTGTTGACGTATTGTTTGTGGATTTGGTAATGTTTATGTTGTTTATCTTTTGTTATTGTCGTGCTTGGTGTCTTGAGTGAGTGCATTTTGTATGTATGTGTGTGTGTGTGTGTGTGTGTGTGTGTGTGTGTGTGTGTGTGTGTGTGTGTGTGTGTGTGTGTGTCCATATGCAATTTCTTTTTACTACAAAGCAAGGAGATGTGAGACAACACATTTTTCTTATGTCTAACATGGGTGTTCGTAAACCTGGGCTTGTTCCCAACAATGTTTATTGCTTGCGGTCTCGTGCTAGCCGGGAGGAAGGTTCACTGTAACCTCACACTAACCATTTTTTTAAAAGTTATACTGTATCGTGTAGGTGGTTGGTGGGTGCTCTGGTGGGGTTGGCTCTTCTTTCTTTCCCACCAAGCATCTATCGTCCTCATCTCTCTTCCTTCGTCTATAGGCCATTCCCAAAGGGGGGGGGGGGTATTAACATGTTCTTATGCACAGTACATGTATTATGGGAATGCCCCTTGTGCAGTGATGTCGGTCCTTCATTCAAGTAAACAAGCAAGTATGCACAGTAGAATTTTAAATGGGCTGAATTGTCAATTTCATTCTCATACTGTGCCGGAACAACATAGGGGGAACTGATGATTTTTCTTTCCTCACCCTTACTATCGTCATTTTCCCTCTACTTCTTTTGCATGTTTGTCATTCTCTTGTAAACTGCTATTTCCGGAGTGCTTTGATAGTCGAATCAGACTTTGTGCTGTTGAGGCTAGAGAGGTGAGCAGAGTAACCCTGATTCCCCGTTTGGACTTCTCTGTTGGCGTCCACACCTTGGCGCTCATTTACGACCTTATGCAGTTGCGAGCGCCGTAAAACCTCTACTAAAACTTTTTTAAACTCTTACTGAAACTAATCTGAAACTTCTTTTCTCTGTATGTTACCTTCTAGTTACACTTGTAATCCGCATCACCTTGCTTGTGACCTGTTTGTGTTGCAAGTGTCGTAAATCTCTTACAAAATTTAAACCAGATTTGGCCATTCTTATGAACTACATGTACTTGTTTTGCAAGTGCAGTAAAAACTCGTTCGAGCCTCAGCTCGGTCCGACGTTGTGTCCTTGGGAAAGGCACTTTACACGAATTTCCCACTTGGCTCGGTCCTTTCGGACTTTAAACCCCGCCTCTTAAATAACCTAACAGTGTTGATAGGGGGCGTCAAACCTATACCGTTTCACCAATATTTTTTCAGTAAAATTCTTACCGAAACTAAACTAAAAATAAAAGTTCAACTAGTATTGGAAATAAAACTGGAACTACTGTTCTGTTTCTGTCCCACCCAGGTTGTCTACGAGGATTTTCGGCATGTGTTCTTCGCCTTGTTGGAGGAACTTGAGGCACAGCAGACCAAAAGCCCTCGAAGGTCCTCGTTAAAGGCTGATTGTGAGTATTTTGTGTTAAGATGAAGGTGTTGTGAAGCACGTATAACTGTACGGTACGGGAGTGAGCGCTATAGAAATCTTCACCATCAGCATCATCAGCATCATCATCATCATCACCATCATCATCTTCATCATTACATGTATTATAATCAGTATTATCATAGATTCTAGGACGAATATTCAGTTGTAAAATGTATTGCACAAAAAAATAATTAGTATACTATTATCCCATTGTTTCTGGAAAAATCAACAGTGACAAGTCATTTCTCATTGCTTTGTGTGGTGTTTGTGTGTGGGGGGAGCGGGGATGTGGTTTAATCTCCGTTTAACGGCGTGTGTGTTACAATAGTTTAGGCTCTGCATCGTTGCACGCAGATGGCATGAGTTTGATAACAGATGGGATGTCGTGGATGCTGTGTCTCACTCAGATTGGACTGAGTCTGACAGGCAGGATCGAAGCAGCCCACCTCCTAAATGGTACTTAATGCGTTGATGCGGGATGTGAAACGTTTACTATCTAACTATCCATCAGTCTCATGCTTGGACTTCTCTTTCAAAGCGGCTGTATTTCATTCCAAAAAATAATGTTGCACGTTCTTACATTTCAGCTCTTAAAAACAACAACACATACTCCCTTAATCCAAACTCGTTTTTATAATAGTTGATCATGTTACTGCTATTGTCAGGATGTATTCCTGACGAAATCTAAATGTTGGTGTCATCGTTCTCTCCGGTTAGAAACGAAAGCACTACTCATTTTGCTTCATTCATCCTGGCTGTATGAATGACCACATGGACACCCTTGAAGATTTATTAACAAGGAAGATCTGTCTTAACCCCGAAGGAGTTAGCGCAGGGAAGGATTATTAACGTTCTTTGTTGTAAATAAATATCCTTCTTGCAACAGAGAATTCTAAAATTGGCTGGATCACTGCTTTCATTTTTTTCCAGCAGGCCATTATTCCTGCCTTGTGTGTGTCGTTGCAGTTTCATTATTCATGTATCTTCGCTGATCGTTTTTCTGAATCCAATTTTGGGGGGGGG